ACAACACTGAGATCTATGTACTAAAATCTTCTTTAAATAAAAGAAATAGGTATGTCATACCTTAGAATATACGTTTAGGTCTCTGAAAGGAACATCAGGAGTGTAGACGAGAGAAAAAGCAACGTGTTACCACACATTACAGCACAAAGCCTGAGCTGATGCTGTCAAGTAAATTTTTTTCGTACAGCAATATAGCAGTAACAGGTCTGGTGAAAAAAAAATAAGTTTAGAAATAGTGAGGGGAAAAAGTATAAAAGGATTGAATAGGAAGGATGCCCTTACACAAGAGCTGCACAGCCCAGACAGAAAAATCCAATAGTAAGCCTGTACAGAGCACCATCTAATCATATGAGACGATGTCAAATTGGATCATCAATCTACAGAATTTTTTTTTAAATTGTTATTATTGATATGCTCCACAGAGAACATCTGTATTTCCAAATAATCAACATTGTGATCACATGACTCTAGAGAACTATTTTACCTTTTCATATCATGTCTTTAAAGTGCTACACTTTATTTGTAATACAGAAGAGGAAAACAAAAGGCAAAAAAAAAAAACCCAAAACTAAACAGAAAAGCAAATTCATCCAAGTGTTCTTTGAGATCACATGGCAATGTTGGTTTTACTGGTTCATGAATGTTAGTGAGACTATGTTCTATTATCTTTAGGCCATGTAGTAAGCTTTATATTGTTTTCATTTTCATCCTTTCTTAGTTATCCTGAGGTAATGTTTCTCAATACTGATTTTTTCTGTATTTCTAGGGTTTATTTCTCCATATAGCATGCAAATTACATGCAGGATTTAAAGCTGATTATTAGTAAAGAAAGCATTTGTCAGAATTAACCTTTCCCTCCCAGTTAGTGGTAACTAGTTCCTCCACTGCAGGCCATCTAGTGGTTTAGCTCTTAAGCGTGCAAATTCAAGTCAGATGGGTTTTGTGCATCTTCCGTCAATTTAATGCACAGACTGACTGGAAGGAATGACCTCAGCCTATACCAAGTGAAGTGCTCCAGTTTTGCTCATTTGCTGCAGCAAAGCGCAAATGAGAAGATAGCTGGCTTGCTCTGGAGAACAAAGGACAACTCAGAAGCATACATCTTAAATCTTTTAAGTTTACTTGCAACCAGATTTACACAGGTGTAAAATACACAGCATGTCAGTAAGCTGCCCATGACCCAGATCTTAATGATCTGATTTCTATGCAGTATTTTGTTTCACTCCTCCACTCTTGTGACACAGGTGGTGCTGCTTTAATTCAGCAGGAATTTTGACAGGTTTTTTTTTTTTACTGTTCTGTTACATGTAATTAACCTCCGCATATTTTAAATTTTACTGATTTTGCACTTTTGTAAACAACTTATCTCAGCAAAAGACTGACCTTTATTAACAGCAAGGAGGCATTACAGCTCTGCATTCCTGTAATAAAATCACACAAAGTAAATCTGTATCAGTACCACAGAATATATGAAATATTTTCTTAGTACACTCAAAGCAGACAGTAAATAGCAAAATTTGTTCAACTACACAGACACACTGACTATGACCGTGTTAGACCCTTCTTAGCTGAGGTTTCTTTGTTCCTGATGGATACACTGTTTGTGGGCAGATCTTGGTAATTACAACCTTAAACACCTTTGAGCCTTGCCTCAAGGAAATGAAATACTGAAAAGTTCTCTTTTCTCATACATTTGACACCCATGTGAATTCTGAGACCCAGACCACCAGTACGAAGTGGTACCCACATCTTTGATCCATAAGGTGGCTTTGATATAAAGTCTTCATTATGGTAAGCTTTTATATTAAAACCCCCACTCCTGTAACTATTTAGATGACAGATAAATGGCACTTAATCACACTGGAGAAAGAATTGGAAGAATGCAGTGGTAGGAATTTTTTCATTCCACAGATTTATTCATGCCCTTTAAGCAAGGTGTCACCACTGGAACAGCTGAAACACTTTCTAAATTTCTAGGGAGAAACCTAAAAATTAGGCTCTTCATCACCTGCTTCTAACAAGGTGGAGGTTTTCCGCTAATTCATCTCTAGATGTTACAACAGTACCTACATACTTACGAATTTTTAGTATTAATGTCTGCAAAGTAATTTGGTTTGATCTACATTTGAAAGCTATGTAGCCAAAAAAGATGCAAGAATAGCCTTTTCTTTTGGTCTAAATTATGTTTCCTGTATTTATGGAGAACACAACAGGGACATAGCAAACTTACTGAAAAACTGCAACCTATCACTGAATTCACTTTAACACACTGACTTTGGATAAATCGGCCCAATCCATAGTAAATAACAGAGGTAGTTGTGTTTCAGAACTTCAGTGTGGATCAAAGGATTAAGTAGGTAAGGGGGTGAAACAGCTGGTGAACTGTATTTGGGTATTTTGTATCTCACCTGTGACTGTTAAGCAAGTCTGTCCTGGAAGAAGGAGTGTTGTCAACTCTGAAAAAGGATAAAAACCAAAAGGAGCATGAGCAAGGTGACACTTCACAGCAGGTGAGTCACTGGGAAGCCCTGAGAACACGTGGTAAGAGTTCCTAACTAGTCTGTGAAACAGAGCTCTGTGTCACCAACACTGAGACAATTCTTACAAGACATGGTTACAAGAGATGGCAGTTGGGGAAGTTGCCTCCAAATGCCTGGTGAATGCGCTGAGAGGCATTTCTTATTTCTGCTGTGCCCAGAGTGAAGACACTCCGTGCCTCTACCCCTAGATCGTCATCCATCCAGTCCTACAAGGAGAGATCCTCTCTAACCCGACAAGTGACAACAGCAGCCTTTCCTCAGTCATAAAGGGAGAGTTACACTGCAAGTTTGGCAATAGTATAAATACCTTAAAAGAAAAATAAACAACTATACCAAAGACCCAAAGGAGTCTGAACCCAGCTGCTTTCTACTAGTACAAAATACTAAAATGCAACCAACCAATGCACAAACTGAAGCAGTGGCAAATGCAGAGGGAATACTTCTGCCAGTGCCCCAACACTCACACATCTGGGCAGATTTACACTTACCTCATGCGGCTGCTATTGCCGCAGTCAGAACTGACACTTGGGAAGCCAACACGCCTTGGGCAGAGCACACACGGCTGAAGGAACATGGTTGCAACATGTCCAGATCATGTTTAAATGAGTTGGCACCAGACTCCCATCACAGATTTTTTAAGCTTTGCACCACTTAAACATAACCTACTAACTCCTTTTTTTTTTAGATAAACATTTTAGTAAGCATTTGAGTAAGATAAGTATCCAAACTGATTTACAAACACACCATAAACTTTCCCATTCTTCAGCACTCTCAGGCTGAACGGCCTTCTACTCTCACGATAGACCCCAGAGATTAAAACATCAAATGCAAATGTTTGTATTAAAAATTATATATTGTGTCAAAGAAAACAATAATTTTGTGTACAAATTTATACACGACAAAAATAAAACTCTTTTTGAATAACACTGTGTAAAAAAAAGTGCTTGCTGCTGTTCTGATGTAGTAATTCTATAAGCAACAGGCTCACAAAAGGCATTAGTAAACCCTTAAATTGCATTGAAGGAATCATGTAAGGCACAGACATCAGTTATTTCAAGGTAAAAAAAGTCCCATACAGCATTCAGTACTACTAACAAGTTACCTTTACATATTATCTGAAAATTTTGAACATAGGAAGCTGACCAGTATTTTATGTTAACTTACTGTATCAAGGAAAAGCATGGGGAAAACTTTTAATGACCATCAGGCCTCTGTTCAGTGTTTCCAGAAGACTGGTCTGAAATAATTTTTACGATGACAGAATCAGCAATTGCTTTTAGAGCAACTTCTCAGCTGTTGCCCCCTCCTTCTCCTCACATTTTCCGCTAGATAGCTTTCCTAGCATTTTTATCCGAGTTATAGACAGCATTTAATCCAATAATGAATGATTAGGAGGGCTTTCAGTCCTAAACCAGTAACTACTGAAGGATGCACACAACCTGAATTATCCTCAGCCTTTTTTCAAACAACATACACGTGATTATTACCAGTATAGAGTAACACTGGAGCATTGGAAGGAAGTGAGAAACTGAAACCAGTTTAAACGTTTAGCTCAGCCACAAAATAAAATGTAACCGTCCTCCAAATTTCTCCCTGGAAGTTTTTTAAATTGCATACAAAGAGAATACTCTTAAAACCAACTGGCAGAAAATTTTCAGTTGTATCTTAAGCAGTAAGGAGTTTAGCAAGAAAAAAAGCTTAAGTTTATGTATTTGCTGTCCTCACTTCTTGTACCGATCTTCTTACATATAAATTTTCAGCTTTGACTGAACTAAGACTGACATTACAGATCTGGTTTTTGATTAGTAAGCTTAACATAGCTACTAACATAGATGATCGAAAAAAATATTAGAAGCTATACTATATTTAATCTACTAAGCTGTTTCATTCTTAAATTGAAATATTCTAGGCACTTAGTTCTCCGAGAAATTTGTTTTAATCATGTCTGAGTTACCTATGATTTGTTCTATTATTAAAAAACAAAATCAAGAGTAACACCAGACATCTGTGTCTCTGCTGGATTTAAATTCTATAACCGACGTATATGTAAATCATCTCAAAAGCAAAGAATATCTCTACGTATGGAGGGTCTGCCTCAGAAGCACTTTCTTAACCAAATAATTCTTTACTGAGCATAAGAAAACCTGTACCTGCACTGCCTGGACCGCCTGCATATGAAAGGTCAGGGATGTATCTGCCAGGACTGTCACTGTGCCCAGCTAATTGCTTCCTTCCACTTCACCGGCAATTCTACTTTTAAGGCTGCATTGAAAGAATCTTAACAGTATCAAGGATATTATTTCTGGGCCCAGATAACTCAGTATCAGTTGCTTTCTCTACAAAGTAGTTATCATAGAATAATTTGAAATGACCACGTTAAAGACTTCTACTTAACAAAGATACTGGCTTCTTTAAGACTAGAACATAAAACTGAATGTAAATAAATAAGCCAGCGCACCATTAGAGCTATGATTTTTAACAAGCAAGACAGAAAATTCAAAGCTGTGGTTTCTACAGCACCTACAGCATCGCTACCTTACACATGCTGTGGCAACACAGTAAATGCTATATACAGTAGGAAAATGCTACATATTCATGCACTGTTGCCAAGTTACAGCTGCCATAGGAACCATAATTTGCTTTTTCTGACTTGTTTAGAATCCCACCTACAACACTGCTGATTAAATGATAATTTACATAAATTTGTACAAATGTTCCACATTGCTTCTCCTGGAAAAAGTCTATTCAATGAGAACACAAGAACTCTAGCACAGCTCTGTTCAATGACATCTATACACAGCCAAGGCTGTTAGTCATGACATATACTTTGTAAACTACTTTTCAGCACGACCTTGACAAGCCACCTTTAATGATGTGGGTTACTGTTCCGGAGAGCAGCAAAATTTTCTTGTGCAAACAACTAGGAAAAAACATTAAGTTAGGGTGGGTAGAACTTCAGCAATATTTTACACAATTTAGCTTCCAGTACACAGTGACCGAAGACAAACATTCAAAAGTGCAGGGACATAAACCTATCAGCACTTGTAACCAATGACATACAAGCAACATTTGCTGGATCCAGTTAAAAAATGAGAACAAACGAAAGTACAACTGTTACTGTGTCTTAAGTTAAATATCCAAAATTAAGGGAATATCACTCTAAACAAAAACAATTGGTAAAAGTTATGCATTCCCTCATAAAAGTCCCATCAGGTTCAAAACATGCTGTCAAAATGTTGTCAACTAAACTGCTTTGGTTACAAATAGCTGTTCACAGGTTTTATTTTGCAGAGGAATTCTCTCTGTTCAAGTGACTGAATCCTTCTTCCTTCTAAAGGGTGACTTCAGCCTTTTCCACACACTGCTTTTTGGTTTTGATTTTTTTTCCATTGCCATTACTGCTTCTTTTTCTTTCCTGCGGATTTCTCGCACAAGAGCATGAAATACATCATCAATGTAATAACGGTATGCAGCTGAAGTTTCAAAAAAAGGGCAGTTGAATTCTCGTGCTAAAGCAGAGCCTTCTTCTTTGGAGACCTGAAAAAAAAAAGTTCACACTTGTCAAGAAAGCCAAAATTAGAAAGTTTATTTATTTACCATTTCTTGTTCTGCTTGCTCTTGTAACTGTGCATGCACCCTCCCACTTTCAGAAAATCTCGTTTCCACTGATCTCTAAATCTTCCACTACAAACATTTTTTTTTAATTTCTCTTTCATATACCACTTCTCTAGCAATGCAATCATCTGCAAGAGATTCTATGAACATTCATGAAACAAGGAAGTCCTTTGAGAGAGCAGTCTTTTCTTGGAGCTTGATCTAGAAGTTGCCTAACGTGAGCAGTCCTCAGCCCTAACACAAGCATCTGTTAGTTTGGTAAGCTAAGAGTATTTCCTTCTCCTGGTCAAAATCTATTATGTTTGCCACACTATCTACCAGAACTAAGCAAAACCTTCCCCCCCAAAAAAAAACCCCAACCCAAAACAAAACAACCCCCCCAGTCTTGTCGAGGCAAAAGAAAAGCAACACCCGCTCCTCATCCCATACATCTCTTATCATGGGTGTTTTACCATAGCTACCAGAATTTTCCCACTACAACAAACACTGAAAATTCATCTAATTCCATGTATACAAACAGACCTTTGGAATTTCTTTTCCAAAGTACATTTCCTTCAAGTCAAGCTCTGCTTCAAACTGTTTTCCCACAAATTATGGTTACTGTTTTCTTAAGCTAAAAGTAATTTTCCTCTTTTTCCACTCTTATCCAAGTTCTCTATTATTAATGTGTCCATTCTTAGCACACTTGCATCTGCAAGTGGTTTACAGAATGCTACATCTCTATTAACAGTATTGCCTTTCAGGAATTAAAAAAAAAGAAAAGCCCAAGAGCAGTTGAAACCCAAAGCACCAACCTGAAGACTTTACTTTTGTAATTGCTATAGGCATTTAGTTATTCAACACATTCCAGGTTAAACAAGTACTTCTCTACTGCTCAATTTATTATATATAGTAAACATGCAAAAAAATTAAGAAAGGGAGCATAACCTCCTGTATTACTGCATTTTACAACAGAAACAGCTTGCAAATGTGGGCCTCTTGTGCCATTTACCTGCCGCAGTTGTGTAAGATCAGATTTATTTCCCACTAGGACCACAGGAGTGTCATCAGTGCGTCGAACACGATAGATGAGCTGTTTGAACTCACGTACTTCATGGAAACTGCGCCGGTCTGTGATTGAATAACAGATGATAAATCCCTCGCCAGCCCTCATGTACTGGTCTCTCATGGCCGTAAATTCTGCCTAGAAACAGACAATTACAGTTCAATTGCACAAATACAATGACTTTCTAATTTTCTCAGAATGGGAAACATAATATAATATGCATTCCAAAAGCAGCTCCACAGGAACTCTGTAAACAGGCTGGTCACCTATCTTTTCACCCTGTTAGATACAGGACAAGATAGTATGTATGTTCAGGATTAACACCAAGTTTCCCTCACTATAGAAATCATACCAACACATTTATCAGCCAATATATAGTGCTTGTTGATCACGAACAGCAAGGTGCAACAGAGAAAGCAGTGCATGAAACTATGGTATCACCTGAGGCTGCCTAAATATAGATAATATGATACAGATGCTATACGCAACATGACACTTAGAAGAAATAATAGAGCTCAAAAAACAATTTGGAAGAGAAAGACAAGCATACTTTTACAGGATTTCTGAATCTACACCTGACCATTAGAGACCTCCTAACATCCTCCCAATTCCCATATTATTACCCACATACCTGTCCTGCTGTATCCAAAATATCCAGATTGGCAGGTTCGTCATCAATGCGTATTCGTATTTTATAAGCATCCTCTGTGAATTCATGGCACATTGGAAAGAACAAAATTGGAATACAATTGCAGTGCTCATTAGTCATCAATTTACAAAGAGAATGTTACACTTGAAGAACCTAATTAGATAATATTGCTATAATACATTAGTCTGATCATTTAACAACAAATTAATTTTTGAATTGTTCTGATGTGATGTATTATCTTCCCAACTCCGTGCTAAAATCATGCTATTCCTGACAGACATGTGACCACATCCTATAAATTCATTTTGGACACCTTAGTGGAAAGAGTAAGAGCATTACATTTTTCTCAAAGCCAGAAAATACTTGTGATTCAAGAGAAGAACTGGCCACCACCAACTGCCATTTTCTTAAAAGTAAGACAATAAATATTCTGCCCCTTTAAGTCAGCACTCCCACACTATAACAGTCCACTTTCAACAAGCAGCTGTCCAGTTTTCGCACTTTTCCTTTGAAAGCATAACTCTTGGTTAAAATTTCTCTTAGGGATGCTGCAAAAGTTATACAGCGATACAGTAAGCTGTTAAGCACTCTCATCCCTCTCAACTTCTAACACACAGACCACAATTTGGCCTGACAAATTAATAGCAGAGAACTGATCTAAAGCATGAAGAGTAGATTTTTTTAATAGACAACTAGTAATCATTTATCAGCAGTTTTTCATCCTTGTCTGCCAACATACAAACAAATATAGGAAGTGCATGGTCTGAATGTATGTGCTAGGAAAACCATTTAAAAATCTAAAACTCAGGATATGTATCCCAGTCCCCATAGCAGTCTCAGAACTCTTGATACCTCTTAATCTAAGAGACTCAGGCCCTCAATTTACAGCCAAATTTATAGCTTTTTTTAAATTATGTACTCTAAAGCAATGGACTCCACAACAGCGTAACCTGCTAAAAAAGGGAGTGAACAGCAAGGAGAAAAAGAGAGATTTTTCTTACCAATTGTGGGATCATGATCCTCTGGAAACCGGTGACTGATGAACTGCATGGTCATGGCTGAAAACAAAAAGCAGAGATACAATTGCACAAGTCTCAGTACATATCTGCCGCTTCAGCATTCAGTTCACAACACGCTTTGCACATTATTTCACTAACAGCTAAAACATAAAACCATACTCGGTGCGAGACTTGAAATAAACACGGTAGGTGAAACAGATTAAATAACTCAGAAACAATGCCCTTGTCCTGAATAAGGCACTCCGTTACGAGTTTCAGAAACAAAGCTGGACACAGCCAAAACGCGGAAGATGATGACACACCGCGCTCCCGAGACATCCCGGGGGGGCGGAATAACGCCCGAAACCGGCTTGTTTTGGTGAAGAACCTTGTCTGGCAGCTGCCGAGCCGAGCCCTCCGGCGCTCCAACCACCGGCGGGTCCCTGCGGAGCCCCCCGGGCCGCTCCGCGCAGCTGAGGGGAAAGCTGCGGCCCTGCCCGCGGCAGGAGAGGGGGGTCTGCAGGGCCGCCCCCCCCGCCCCGACCCCGCCGTACGCACCGCTCTTGCCGACGCCCCCGGCGCCCAGCATCACCAGCTTGTACTCGCGGGACTGCCCCGCAGCGATGCCGCCGCCCGGCCGGGCTCCAGAATCCATCTTCTCCGAGTCGAAGAAGCCGCCGCTGAAGAGGAGAAAAGAGCGTTAGCAGCGGCGGCCCCTCGCGCGGCTCTGCCCCGCCGCCAGCCCGCTCCCCCCTCCTCACTGCCGGGCTTCTCCGCGCCGGCCACCAAAATGGCGGCGCTTGCTCCGGCGGCGGCTCGCGCCGCGCGGAGGGGGCGGGCCTCGGACGGCGGCCCGGCGGGGCCAACGCAGGCCGCCGCCACCGCCCACCCCCCCGCAAACCGCTACGGCGCCCCGAGTCCCGCCAAAATCCCCTCACCCCCACAAAAAAAAAAGCACCGAGAAGCAGAATATTTATACATTTATTTATAATGAAAGTATGGTTCTCATTATTTACAACACATAGTAAAGACAACGTTTGTACAAGTGAGCCATCAAGGTCTTTCAGTGGTGCAGCCACAACACGCACACCCATTTTTAAAACTATTTCTCCCACTTCAAAAGCCGACCAGCACCTCAGAGCAGTCTCACGCGTCACTCCACACAAGAGTTCTTTCTGCAATAGTCTGCCCCACCAAGAGAGCCTGTGTTGCAGCACATGTCCATAACAATCCAACAACTTAGTCCCAGGTTCCACTTCTGGGCTTCAAGGCAAGAGCAAGGCCTGCGCTCCGGTCACGGGCGCCACGTCGACCTGGCTGCTGCTTGCCTTTTCTTTGTTAAATCACCATGGAACAGAAGGGGGTAGAATCAAGTGAGTGAATGAGTTAAGAGATGGGGGCGAACCTCATGAGAAGGAGTCCCGTCTGAACTGCTGAATGGGAACAAATCCAGGGGTGATCAGAGAAGATTAAGTACCAGTGCTACAGCGCCGTGTGCACGTGGGGATTAGCAGCAAGATGAACCCATCCAAAAAACCGAGCATCCCCCCGCCCCGACATCTGGCTAGAACGAGAAGTTGTGGGGTTAGTAAAACCACATTTTAAATAAAAAACAGTGTTGAGTTACAGGAGATGCTTGAAGTAAAAACAAATTAAGAGTTTTAGAAAATGTGATCCTCAAGTTTTTCAGAACTACTGTATATTCCTTTCCTTTGTTGAAAGTCCAAACATTGAAGCCAGGGTCACCATTAGCTCAACAGGACTGCAAGCACAGGCTAACAGCAGGAACACTCAATAAAATACAAACATCAGGTGTAGAATGAAGTCAGCATGACTGACTTTCCATTTTAATTATCCTGGAAAAATGGGAAACGCAGACTGACAGGCTTCCCTAGTTTCTCTTAACAGTACTTCCCCTATTGTATAAGGGACTAGCCCTGTCAGAGTACTTTTTTTTTTTTTTCTTTTTTTTGACAAATTCACTGCAGAAATAAGGATTTTAAAAATAATGGAGCCCTTTCAAGGGGGAATACTCAATCTTTAGCTTCTGCAAATGTAAAAACAATGTGTATTTGCAAAGTTCATTCTGTAATATACATGCATTATTGCTAGAGGGGAAAAAAAGATGAATGAAAACTCTTCTGCAGCTTTTATGGTGCCATCCAAAATGGCATCTGTTGTTTTGCTCGCTGTTGTGAGGAAGGGTACTGGTATCCCAAACTCCATCCCTGTGAAAAAGTACTTGCGTTTTTATGGCCACCATGTTCCTCCTCTTCATCTGATGAATCTCCAGCATATGCCACTAATCCAAAGCCCTTTTCTGCAGTTTTCATCTTCTTAGCTTGATGATCTAGGAGGGGAAAACAAAACAACCCCCCCAACCCACAAGAAGGAAAAATAAAAAGATAAAATGCCCAAAAACGAGTTAATAAAAAAAGACGTTAATTGCAAATTGTTAGTTGGACACCATTTTGAGGTCACAAGGCCAATGGTCATCCAAGGTCGAAGGCCACACGAAACAGCACCAGCAACAGCACATGTGATCCATCAGAACCATGTAAGAGAACAGAGAAAGAAGAAAGAAACACACAAAAAAGGTAAAGTTAGCAAATGGGTCTAAGTGATGTCAATTTCACCGTTAAAGAGATAAATACGTAAAGAAAAGTAGAAACTTTGTTCAAAAGAAAGCTAACAGTAGAGCAATCTCTGGGACCAAAACTGCAGAAAAACTAAGGTTAAACAGGCTAACATGATGTACCTGCAGACCTGAAAGGCCCAAACTGCTAGGAGAGTTAAAATGATTACGTGTTTTACCAAGTTGCAAATACTTGATGTTTGACAGCCCTATGAAAGGATGAAATCTGACAGCACTTCTGTTGTTTGCAGACATAACTCATGTCTGTAAATACACACCTGAACCATTACTCCCACCGATACTCCTTAGTGCCTCTAGAGATAGCTGTTCACAATGTAAAGCCACACCATATCTATGTTACAAAACAATCCTATAAAATTCTGTGCCCTGGCTGACTGATGGGTCAAAAATACCCAATCTTTAGTCCTTCACATAATTACACTGTCCTAATACAGATATTTATTAAAGTTGTAAGAGAAGCATCATGTGTATATAATCACATAGAATGTGTTTTAGAGCAGTGCAATGCAACCCGCTTTTCACTTAATGTGGTATAAAGAACAGGAAGGAAAAAAAAAAAAAATCACCCATTTAAACAAATGTTAAGACCAGCACAAACTCATTTGGGAAAGGAAACCTGACTTACAAGTATATTTTATTCATTGCACTCACCATGGTTGCCTGGTAAGGACCCAGCACCATTTCTTTCTTCAGGTTCTGATTTCATCCCAGTGACAGGAAAAGCTGGCGGAGGCATCAACTGCCTATTTAAACCAATGCAAGCCTTTATTTTTTCTTTTTTTACAACAAGCAAAGTCTCAAAGGTAATAGCAAACAAATTAACAAATTTATAACTCAGACCTTGACCTAAGGAGTTTAACTTTTAATTGCCTGGCTAATCTAGTGGCCTTCTACAATACAGTGACTGCATCAGTTGACAGGGGAAGAGCAACTGATGTCACCCACCTGGACTTCTGTAAGGCCTTCAATACGGTCCCCCCCCCAACATTCTTACCTCTAAATCAAAGAGAAATGGATTTGATGGATGGACTATTAGATGGGTAAGCAATTGGCTGGATGGCGATGTCCAAAGAGTTATAGTCAACAGCTCAATGTCCAAGTGGAAACCAGTAAAAAGTGGTGTCCCTCAAGGGTCCGTACTGGGACCAATGCTATTTAATGTCTTCATTCCTGACAGAGACAGTGGGATTGAGTGCACCCTCAGCAAGGCTGCAGATGACACCAAGCTGAGTGGTGCAATCTATACATTAGAGGAAAGGGATGCCATCCAGAGGAACCTTGACAGGCTTGAGAAGCGGGCCAATGCAAGCCTCATGAAGTCCAACAAGGTCAAGTGCAAGGTCCTGCACCTGGGTTAGAGCAACTCCCAGTATCAACACAGGATGGAGGATGAAGGCACTGAGAGCAGCCCTGTGGAGGAGTTGGGAATGCTGGTGGATGAAAAACTGGACATGAGCTGGCAACACATGTTTACAGCCCAGAAAGCCAATCATATCCTGGGCTGCATTGAAAGAAGTGTGTACAGCAGGTTGAGGGAATCAATTCTCTTTCTCTGCTCTGCTCTTGAGACCCCACCCAAACACTGCATCCAGCTCTGGGGTCCCCAGCACAAGACAGGGACCTGCTGGAGCAGGTCGAGAGGAGGCCACAAAAATGATCTGAGGGCTGAAACATCTCTCCTGTGAGGAAAGGCTGAGAGTTGGGGTTGCTCAGCCTGGAGAAGAAAAGGCTCTGGAAAGACATTATTGCAGCCTTTCAATACCTAAACAGGGTTTAGAAGATGGAGACTTTTTACCAAGGCCTGTAATGACAGGACAAGGGGTAATGGTTTTAAACTAAAGGAGGGCAGATTTAGATTAGATAAGAAGTTATTTTCTGAATGGTGATGAGACACTGAGTTTCCAGAGAACCTGTGACTGCCCCCTCCCTGGAAGGGTTCAAGGTCAGGTTAGACAGGGCTTTGAGCAACCTGATCTAGTAGATGTCTCTCCCTACAGCAGAGGGGGTGGCCTAGATGATCTTTAAAGGTCCCTTCCAACTCAAACCATGCTATGATGCTATGAAATAAAGTGCAAACCCAACAGTTTTGTGGCTCAATGCACTGAAGTGCATAAGGAAGAATAGTGATGCCTGATGACTTCAAACAGCTATACTGAGTTTAGGACTATATACAAGATGGAGAACATAGAAAATGTTACCAATACCCTTGATGCATTTCATAATGGCCAGAAAACAAAATGGACTATCAAGTAAATATTTCCCTGAAACTTCAGGCTGCAAAATTCCAAGTTCACAACTTTTTTTCAGATTTCTTTTAAAACTGGAGTTGTTTCAAGTTTAAGTGCTAACCTATTTCACAATCATATCCTATTATCTCAAGAAGCTGACAAAGTAGCAAAACACAGACAAAGTAAGAGCATACAGCCTTAGGGAGGAGTGGAAACTAAGCTATTTTCATTATGTAGCATGAAAAGGTAACCCTTGCGTCCTTCCTCCTTAAAAAAAAAAAAAAAAAAAATCACCTACAACAAAAAGAACAACCTCCTCAACCCCCAAGTCACAGAAAAGAACATGAAACCCAAATCATCGCTGAAATATGCTTTCCATCAGAAACAGAAGAGACCTGAACATAATTTCTTCATCACTCACCTGTCCCTCTCTCTCTCCTTTCCTGAGGAACTTGCTGGCTTCGACCCGGCTCCATCGATTTCACTCTGACTGGAGAAGCCTGTACCTAAATTAGTCATATGAATGGGTCCATGCTATGAGCAGAAAAACACACGGCATTAGCAAATCTACAACTACAACATAAGCTATAGCTCCTTAATGATAATGATAGGAAACCCAACTTTTCAGAGCATATTTCCAACTAGCAGAAGAAACTACTAATCGCCATTGTTAAACAAAATGCTTTCTCCTAAAAATATTGAGGGTAACATAGTAAGAAACACACCTGAGCACCAATATGGAAGACACCTCACCACCTACTCCACCTTTTCCGTAGTTCAAGACAGTAAAGATAGTTGCTTAGTTCATGGATCAACTTACAACCTACTCAATCAGCTAATTCTGAAAACTCTATAGACCTCATGCCACAGTAAATTCTGCTTGAGATATTAATATTAGTTCTAACATATAGGCAGTTCCTTATTGTCCCTGGGAAAAGCTTTTATTAAGGGTTTTTGCCTGTGAGCAGGGGTGTATCAGAGAAGCATTTGCAGAAACTCCCTTTTCTCACATACAAGTCTGAAGAACTCAAAATTATTTCCATCAAAACCAACTGTTTAACATTTGCTATCTAAAAAAATTAAAATCAGTCTCTTAAAGCTAGGCTTCTTGAAATCTTCTCAAGTGCAACCTGCAAGAAAGGTAAATGGGAAAATCTGGAAGTTATTACCATGTTCCTCTCCCACCCCTCAAACAAGTCCACCCAAAAGACCCACAAAAAAAAAACAAACAAAAGCCCAAATCATCTCCCTTTAACTAACCAGTATCATGCTACTGTCATCTCTTTGACCTAAATGCACCACTTCACAAAAGACTGAGGGTATGGAAAGCAGGCTGCCAATGAATGAAGTCACAGTTTAAGAATAGTGCATCAACTCAAAGAGACAACAGCATGGTCTCAATTTTTGTAACAATGGTTGTAACAATTGTTACAATTTTTGTAAGAATTGCTGCCATCTGCCAAAGATCTTGCCTAACTTTTGCCAGATAAACTATGCTAACAAAAATCTCTCTCCAGCCAAGTTGCATTTTGGTGAATGAAGTAAAATTGCTGATTTTATTCCACCTGGTATCCCAGTAGTCCTGACTCTCTCTCATCTGGTAGTTCCTCAGTGAAGCGTCTCTTTTGACCTTGGGGATGGGGTTGGACTTGTGGCTGTGTACCAGTTGGCATGGTTGTTTTTACTGGGGCAGCAGGAAGAAAAGGACTGCTCAGTGGACTCTGGCATACAGAAGTTGAAAACAAAACACAAGACAATTTGTTAATATGCATATAAAGTATTAATTCAATGCAGTTTCATACATACGAGCAGAACACACAACTAGTTTCCCTTTGCAGAACCTAAGAGAAGCTAGAAGGAAATTCACAACTTAAAGATAAAACAGGTATTTCAGTTTTAGAATGCTCCCACCTCAAACTCTTCACCATCTGTAACTCAAACTCATTGTACCTACATAGCTGTATCACAGCCAGTGATAATGCTTTTCATAAATGAGTGACTATCTCCTGCAAATATCCTTATGTTAACAGGTGGCTATGATATGAAAACTGCAGTATGAAGCAGCCATACCAACAATTTAGTGGCTTAGACAGAAGCATCAGCAAAGCAATAGCATTAAAAAAAAAAAAAGCCCTTAAGAAGAATTCTCCATCTTGAACTACTTTAATTATTTCATTGTTAGCAAAGAAACAGCTTCGTAAATAGATAACTAGAGGGCAAATAATTAATCTGTGGCAGTACCTGGCCAGTGCTGGCTGGAGGTTGTACTTGAGATATTGGATACTGTGTTGGCACAGGCGGAACTCCTGTAGGTAGCGTTGTTAAGACTCCAGGTGCCAATGGCACTGCTGGTGGTACTATGCCTGGTACACCATATGGTGGCTGAACTGGTTGTTGAGGAGGGGGAACAACAGGATAACCAGACTGATATCCATTGGAAGGGTAATACGACGGCTGGGAAGGTACGCTATTTAAAGCGGCAGGCTGTGTAAAGCCTGGTGAGAGAAAGGGGAAAAAAGGGTCATCTTCAATTCAGTTAGTCACAAAAATACCAAATTTAATTACCAGATGTAAAAGAAGCTGGCTCCTTTTCAATTGAAGGATTTAGACCTCCACAGGTTAATAAATTGCACAAAACTAACTAAGTATAGCTCCACAGAATTCAACTCTAAAGACCTCATTATTGCTAACATTTACCTGCTAAGGGTACTGCAGTGGTTATCTGATTCACGAATCGGGAGTATTCAGCATGAACCTACAAAAAATTTTCAAAGATTAGACAATAAACTATATTAACATTTTGCAGGTAAAAGACATCTTACCACATATCCCCATAAAACTGTATTGGGACTTTGATTACAGTACGTATTATGCGCAAAGACAGCAATAATACAAACAAAAACTGTAAACAAAAACCCACTGACCAGAATCCCACTGAACATCCCACTAATCCTGCTGGTCTCTGGCAGATTTGTGTAAAATATAGGATGATATTTCACAGGAAAGAGTGGCAAACTAATTACTTCAGTAGAGACAAAATGCTCAATAAATCTAAAAGCTTCCATGTATTTTCAAGAGAATTTGTAACCCATACTGAATTACCAATACTAACAGAAAGATGTCTCACGGAATTTTACTCTTTTTGCATTCATGTAAGAAAAGATAAGAAATTCATACTCTGTGTGTACAAGTGAGAGACTTTTCTAAAATTTTTTTGGTACCACAATCACTTTAGGAAACAGAAAGCAGACAGCATGGCTTTGGACAACATTTAAAGGTAAAGCAAGGGAAACTACAGCAATCAAAAAAAAAGAGCAGGATTCCTTTATGTTTGCATAGTCAGACAACGCCCTGGCCCCACCCTCAGGTTCTGTTCAGGAAGCATTTGCCTTTCCCCCCAAATTCCACTATTACAGCTCCATCCTGAGAAATGTTTATTCACTTTACAAAAATTAAACAGAGGTACTTAAAAGGAAAGATCTATTAGCAAGCCAGAACACATGGACAGTTTTCTCAAGAGCATAAAAAAAAAAAAAAAATCATTAGCCAGGCACATGCTTAAACTAAAACAGGCTCTGAAATCTCGTATTTGTAAGAGCTACTTACAGTTTGCAATAGATTCTCACACAGCTTTTTAGCAGCTGCCAAACCTTCTGGCTTTGGGTGACTGAAAAGATATACAAACAAACCCCTCATAAGCACAAATGTTTCTGCCAAATTTGGGAGGTACTTCTTTCATCAGCAACCTGCTGTAAGATCTCATCCATTTAATGAGCGGCCAATCACCTCAACAGGACTCTAGCAGCTCTTCAGCTATTTAGCACAATTGTGAATGAAAGCAAAGAGTATTTATTTTCTATATGAAAATTCAAGTTAGTCCAAATACTGCAAGAATTGAGCACAGAACACTGACTTGACTGGTCAATGCATTTTGTATTCTTCCCTTAAAACCCAACATAGCAATCCAAGACCAAAAAGAACACAGTTTTACTGTGTTCCCAATAAAAGCACTACCTTATGGTTGAGTATCACTTTATACCACATCATCATATGGTTGATATCATTATCACTTTAGAGAGATCTTTATTAAAAAAAAAAGTTAGGTTCAAAAGCTATTTCATTTGCATTAAGTCAATCAGAATTAAGAATACCCCATATTGATTAAACATTAAGCTACATTCATGACTGCTCACTGGGAATTTAAAAAAAAAAAAAAAAAAACCACAAAACAAAACAAAAAAAAAAAAAAAAACACTCATACCTGATATATATGTACATGGGTTCAAAAGCTTCTCTGCCTGATGCCGGTTCTATGCAACCTGAGCCCTTCCCACGAAGAAAGACTTTGGCACCCGTTTCAATTTGAATGTGCTGCAAGTAGGAGCAACCAGGCCCTTCCACCTTCTCCTTCACATTAAATGTAGGTACAGCATGTTCCAGACCAACAAATAACTTGTCCTGAACATAATGCATCTGTAAATGTAACAGTAAAATATTATTTCACTCTAAGAATTAGAATGTTCTTTTCACTGGAGGCCAGAAATTATGACAGTCGGAACAGTTAAGTGTCAGATGGCACAGTCAGCCCTTTGCTTTTCTGTAAGTAGGACTGCTCTCTCCATCCCTTTTCTTTTAGGAGGCTACTGTCATCTGAGTCTTACTCTTCAGACTCAGTCTGATTAGTCCTCCAGTTTTCACAACATGCAAGGTTTTTTTTTTGAGGTGGTATTTTGTTTTGTGTTTTTTTTTTTTTTTAATAAATAGCACAGCACATGTATATTTTGTAATAGGTAAATCTTATAACCAGTGATATTCAATGAAATTCACGTAAATGCATTACTCACCCCTGACTGGAATGGAGGTTTTTGGCCAACTGCTGGAGACAACTGAGTAATAGGGGCTGGCTGGTGATAGACAGTAACTGTAGCTCCGTTGAACGTTGGACTAGAACCTGTGGCTGCTTTTACTACTCCATTAGTAATTATCTCTTTAATTCGATTAACAGCTCCTAGTTGACAGTATAAAATTCATTTGTATTTCAGCCCTTGACAACTGCTCAGATTAAACAAATAATGAAATTACTAGGTTACTTTCCCATATGCTGTGACACCAGATCTACAGGCATAAAGATCGCATCTGACAGCAGGGCCCATTATTAGCATTCTGGGATTGGTAACAGAGGATGGCAACGAGCATCAGGGTTCTTTCTCTGTTCCCATCCTGGTAATGCTTAGGCATTATACATAACGTGTATGCAGGTGGGCAGTTTTAGCCCACACATTTTTGCAAATACTAGAAACATCTACTAACCCTGCATAGAATTTACATCTGCGCAAATGAGCAAACTAACATATGAAAAATTACTTATTGGCTGTGGAAATCAAGGTAGGTAGAAGTGGGCAGCTTCAAGTTTCAAAAGACAACTGAAGGCAAGCCTGCGAACTGATACACAGAACAAATGAACACCTGAACAGTTCACAGTTTTCCTTTTTTTTCCAGCAGGCATAGGCAAGACAGAAGTTTTGTGCTTCTCATGGAAATGTAGGTATTTCACAGAAATGTCCATACTTGTATATTAAAGGGAAGGTCTCCCTGTCATACACCTATTGTACTGGGATCTCCACATATTATCAGTGAGTAAACTCATACATAAGAGCTGTACCTGCCTAGGAATCCCACCTACCCCATCCCACCTTCCTTGTAGTCTATCAAAAGTTTTAGTTTCATGACTAATGCAGTACACAGCACCTTAAGATCTCTGCTCAGAACTACCAAACATCAATGTTTAAATGGGGTCTGTTATCAACACCAAGATATTTATAGTACAAATCCATACAGATCCTAACCCCTTTATCACAAGTAATGAGAGGAAAAGATGAATGCTTTGTACACTTACTGTCAACCAATTCCCGTGTCTGACCCTGGACATGAAGATACAATGGACGATCTCTGAAAAGGAAATGTCAAATAGTCTGTTAAACCCACAGAGAACATATAATTAGATTGACTAGATTATTGTATTACAGTCATCTAGACACATGAAATCATCCACAAAGATTTTAAGTACTCTTCAAATAAGGAAGTAAATATACACTCATTGAATATTGAAGTGCTCAGTAAGCAAAGCTTCACACTGAAAACTGAGAAGATTCAGAAGTTACTTACATGACAACTTATTCAAGTTATACCAATGAAAACTTTAATTTGCTTGTCCACGTGAAATGTTAACTAACTAAAAGCACCAGGTCTATGAAACATTAGCTCTCTCTGTAATCAGAATGTTGCCCATTGTCAGCGAAATGCACAAGAGATCCAGTCTACCATTCAGTCAAAATAAGGTCAGCACAGTCTGATCTGTCACATTTGTGGTTAGTTTGGTTTTTATTTCATCCTATCAATATTAAGCAGGTAGGAAAGCAGCTATGCAGTCAGTACTATCATAAGGGTAAACATATTTGAAACACTGAATAGTCAATTTGCTCTGGCACACAAATGTGACACTACTCATGAAAAACAAAACAAATACCGCACCACTTAGCCACCCAATGAGGAAAAAAGGCAAAAAACCCTAAAAAAGAAATACAAACCCGGGTCCCACTTTTGCTTTCTCTTCTGCAGTCATAAATCTCCCTCGAGTAGAGACAGCTGCTCCACTCAGTCGGCTTATCTGCAAACAATTTAAAAAAATCCAGTGACAAGTTTACCAATAAATAAAGCACACACAAAGAAATTGAATTGGTTCAAGCTATGTTGTGGCATGAAAAGACCAGAAGTCTATTAATAAATTGGTAGGACAATAAATGGTGCCTGCTAAAGGATCCTGGCTATGCTACCTTACCTAATCATATAGCATTTTATTGCACAAACCAAGAAACTACTGAACAAATTGTTTCAGAACACACAAGTTTTGTAAAAAGAAGAAACAACCACTGAATATAGTTTATTGCAAGCTCTTTTAACTTTACAAACAGCTATAAATGTGCTGCCGAGCCTAAAAAAATCAGACATAGATCCTGAACATACCTCATCCTGAGTCTGTCCTCTTGTCAGCAGGTTTCTGCATGTGAGGGGCACATCATTGATTTCTACCTCTGCCACCACAAGGTCATCTTTGCTTTTACTTGTAGCCGGACCTTTTCCCAGAGCCTGCAGCTTCAAAGACAACCGTTGCAAAAGACCAGAGGTTAGAAAGCAAATATAAATGATGTAACGAACGAATTGACCCTAGTACTCTAGAGGTGAATATCCTTTTCATTCTCCCCTTTCAGCTGTTGAATCCAAAAGCTTTACAAATATTACCAAAAAGCGCATTATATCTACTACCTAATAACACTTTAATAAGTAATTACTGTTTATGTTCTATAAACAGATTTATAATTAATCAGTAAAGTTGCTCAAAGGGAATGCAAGGCATTTTACAGGTGAATTGGCATCTCTGACAGAAATCTGTGAGACTACTTCTCTCAACTCCCCTTACACAGACACAGAATTTCTGTCCAAGATCTAAACTAATCCACACTAGGACTACACTTCCCCGCTCCGTTCTTTTTTTAAAACAAGGGGACAGTATTTTGTGTCAGCATCTAAGTGCTAAGAAAGAAAAAGCCACAGAATCACAAACAGATTCAGAAGATATGACAGAAGAGTTGGAGTTACAACAAAGACCTTACAGCTTTTTCCACACATAGAGTCAGATAGTACATCCTTCCAAAAAATCTGAAATGCTTTTGAGGACATAAGCATAAAACAAGACTCTATAAAAAAAGAGAACCTTCCAGTAACATCCAAAAGGTATCCATCCACTCGTAAATATCACATGAAGCATGTCACTTGCATGAGAGCCAGATGGCACCTATAGAGGGACATAAGTCTAATGCATTGTACATGCATTCTGTTTCCTTATTCCTTCCACACTTTTTTTAAAAAGAGTACGTTCATTAACCTCCTGCAGGTTCCTTAATTTCCATTCACTCACAATCTGAAGTGCCATCAGAGTTAATTACTCTGGAAATACCATCACTGAACATTTCCTAACAAAAGCAACATATGCAGTAAAAAACCCAATCCTGTTTGCAAATTAATTAATTGGTTAAGTGGTTCCCACAGCAATACAATTTGTCACCAGAATGCCAGAATGCCACCACAGCTTATGGAAAACACATAAATGGAAGAATGAGACATCACAGTATCTTCCAGTTTTCAAGCGTCTCAAACTGCCAGTCAGTGAATAGACTTTACTTCCATCTGGTATGACTATGGAGGCTACCTGAAACCAAGCCACATGTTCTTCAACGGTGAAAATCTAACATCCTCAGGTGGATGCTAAGTATTGAGAAGCAGGCACCCTCATGCAGCAATGTGTAAAACCACCTGGGACTGCTGATAGTAACAATCAAATAAACATTACTAGACATCAAGTATTAAAAAGACTGAAATGTTAATTTCATATACAGAACCTGCAGAAAACCAATTATGGTCAATATGCATCAGGGTACATTTGCCACTCTTTCTTGTATTATCTGTGACTAAATCCAATGACAATTAAATCCAATGTTCATTTTGATGCTACCTCAAAGGGCAAACTCTTAGAACATAACTGGCACTCCCACCAATATTATGCAGGTGAAAAAGATGATACACTGTGAAAACATACTCTTCTTGTTAACTTTGTATGTGAACAAGTTCGGAAGGAAACTTGAAACATCCTTCTAAACTTGGCTCTAGCATATGTTAATAACACACAAAAAAGCAGGGTTATTCCTCTTGCCAAAGTTCAAAAACAAGCTTTAATCTACACTTGCTTTAGAATAGAAAAGTTCAGTTGGAAGAGACCTACAACAATCATCTAGTCCAACTGCCTGACCACTTCAGGGCTGACCAGAAGCTAACCAAATTGTTTGGAACTTGCACATACATCTCCTACTGACTACTTGTTTAAGCATAAAAATAATTTGGTTTCCTATTTTAAACTCGCTGTTTTACACAGCAGATTTTTACATCAGCTGCATTACTTAGAAAATACTTAAGAAAGCAGTTTACCATCTTCCTACAGATCGCTTTGGTTAAGCCTTATGGAAGAGCAGCAGGACTGAACTCACAGCTATGCCACTGTTTTCTCTTATTCTGCAAAAAATTTTAAAAATAGTTTTCTGACTGCTTTTTGTTCTATCTACTTTGTGACACAAACCTCCACCATTTCCCCCCTCACTGACAGCTATTCACAGGTCTCCAGAAAACAGTGACACCCACCCTCGTCCATTACCTCCGGGTCTGGCGGTCCCTCCTGCCCCCCCCCGTCCTGGCACCCACCTTGTCCGCCGTGTTGGGCGCCGGCTTGAGCTTCCCTTTGGCCATTAACATCGCGTTGATTTTCGCGGCCACGGCCGCGGCCGCATCCAGCGCTCCCGAGGGGGCAGCGGAACTCTCCGAGCCCGCCACAGCGGAGCCCCCATCTCCGCCACCGGGGAAGGGGCGCCCGGGCAGCGGCGCCGTGCCGGGGAGAAGGAAGGCGGGGGCCGGGCCGGGCTGGTCCCACTTACTGCGGCGCCTGGAAAAGAGAGAAACCTCAGCCCCGGCCGCCTTCCAGCCCGCGGCCCTGCGGGAGCGCCGGCATCGGGGGCGCCCGCGGCCCAGCCTCACCCGCCAGCGGCCCCAGCGTCGCGCTGCCCTCCGCCACCCGCTGACATGGCTCCGGCCCGGCTCCACCGCCTCCGCGCCAGACGCAGCGTCATTTCCGACCCCGAGGCCGCCTCGGAACGCCCCTTCCGGGCGTTGCCACAGAAACGGCGCGGCCCGCAGAGGGGCTGGGAACCGGCACCCGGGCAAGGCGAGAGGGACCGAGACGGAGCGCGGTACCCGCCCCCGCTCCGGGACTGACTGCGAGAAACCGCGCGCTGAGCCGCGGGAAAACCGCGGGGCGGGAGAGCGCGCACAGCGCGGGGCGCCCGCGCTGACGTCACCAGAGACGGTGGCTGCAGTCGGGCACGCGCGCTCTGGGCACTGCGGGCAGGGGGCCCCGCGCATGCGCAGTACTGCACGCAGCGGGCTGCCCCGCGGCACTTCAGCTGGCCGGCTGACGCACGGGCACTACCCCCTGCTGCCTTGGCGGGAGTCGCACGCCGCGCAGCCTCCTGGCGCATGCGCGCGGCTCCCTGCCCCGTCCGCGCCTTTATGCCGCCGCCATGTTGAGGGCAGCGGCTGCTAAAATTTTTCGAAACTGTGTTCCAGGTCCCCCCAAGACGCCCCAGGCCTGCTCCTGGGCAGCTGTCCAGCTGGCGTGGAGAAGAGGGGTTGTTAGGGGGGCTGTGCAAGTGCTTGATCTCTCCCTTTTCAGCTTTGTTTCCAAATAAAGGGTCACCATGAGTTGCCAGGAGCAGATCTGTTTCAGATTTTCTGGGATGTGCTGAGAGGCTTTCGGAGGATATTAGGGGGCACTTGCAGGGTCTTTGTGAGCTCTTGCTTTGTAAGTAAAACCGGTTTTCTGTTACAAAGGCCATCGCACTTCTCTCCTTCCAGTTCAGTGCTATTTAACTTTTTATTGCACACAGATAGCACTTTATTTCTGTGCAGTGTGGGTGGAGTTGTAGACTTTCCTTGAATAATTAGAGATAAGTTTCAGATCAGTCTGAAAACCCTGTGTGTGGTGTGGTTTGATGCTCAGATTTGCCTGCTTGCTGTCTCTGGAAGCTATGTCATAGTTCACTTATCCTTGGTGTGGTGAATCTTTCTTCAAAAAGCAGGACAGAAACATTTCCTTTGGAAAGGGATGGTATTGTAAGGGCTCTCCTAATTATTATCCTATTACTGAAGGAAAAAGCGGGAAAGAAGTCCAATGGGGAGTTGGCATGTTGAGGGCAGCAGCAGGAGCTGACCCTGCCCCATGATGAGATGAATGCTGGCCAAGCAATGACTCTTCAGGTGTCACAAGGGAAGGGGGCCATCATGGCACCAAGTGCTGTCACAGGCTCCTGAGGAGAGGTCTTTTATCTGTGTTAAATAATGAACAATTGCTTCATTCTTTGCACTCCTAACTGGGGTTCCTGCAATCCTCCAGGATCCCCAGTCCAATCTCTCCTGGGACCAAACTGGAGACTCAGCAATTTAGCAACCATTTGAGCCCTGCCACACCTATTTGCAGATGGCCGCTCCACAGAGCCCTCAGGGTCCCCCTGTCACCAGGCATGGTCAGGCCCTGGGAACTGGCAGTGCCAAGTGCCACCCTGGGAAGGGTTGGGTCCTGGCAGCTGGATGTTTCAAACAGGGTGTCCCTCCACCACCTGCTGACTTACACACACACACACTTCAGTTACAGCTCTTGCGCTCAGGAAGCATGGTGTGCATTACCTGTCACAAAACGCCAAAGCCTTTTGTTATCAGGCAAGCAGAAAAGCTCTTAGTTGAGAAGTGTATTTTGTGGTCAGGCCAGCACCCACACCTTCAGCATGAGTATACACACTTTAATACATTTATCCAGAATGGGACCCAGATCCCCTAGGCTGATTGAGGGATCACAAAGCTGTGCACACGTCTCCTGCTGCTTGGAAAAGAGCTTCAGGTGGAATAGGTCTTCTTGAAGGCTGAGTGTTAAAGGAGACTCGAACTCCGTCGTGGGTTACTCTAGGATTTTATTCAGGTCCAGCAGCGTTGGGTCACCTCCACAGAGAGTGACAGCTTACATGAGTTCGCATACATGTATTTATGTACCTACAAAGCATTACCTAATCCAAAATACACAGAATTATACTTTATCAGTCATTATTATCTTGACAGTGGGTTTCACATCTTGTTCTGGAGTCCGACTACTTCGTTGTTTTGTTTCTTCTTTCTTTTAGTCTTCAAGGACGATTACCTCAAGTTCTGTACGTCTCAGTTCTTAGTAGCCACAATGATAGATCTCCCATTGCTTCGGTAGCTAAGGGTCAGTTTCTCATACATCAACATCCTTTGAACTGTCAGGCCCATCATTACCTTTGTTACAACATTTTATTGATGCTCTATTCAGTTAACTGTGCTTGCAGCCCTGGGCTGGGGCTATACAGGGGACAGAGCTGATAGAACAGCTTGTGCAGCAGCACTGCATTGCAAAATTTTCCCAACACTGAGTGTCCTGGCTCCCTGAGGAGCTAGCTGCAGTCAGGGCTTTAGATGGCATGGTAGGTGGGCTTGGTTGGATGAACATAGCTGAACAAGGCGTGTGCCCTGTCATGCTGCTTTTCAGGAAAGTAAAGGCATAACTTGTCCAGAAGATGACCTGGCCAGAAGTGATTGTCTCTTGACTTTTGAATCTTATTCCTCTGAAGATGCCTGTGAAAAAAAGGGGGTGAAGAAAGGAAAGAAAAAAAAATAAGAGAGAATAGCATGCTTTACAGAGATAAAATTCTGGGCAGTTTAATTGCTTCTCTTAGGGTAAAAGTGAGCCTGACAAGAACCAGCTATCTGAGCTTCCAGATCCCAGGAAGCTCTGCCAGATCTGTGCAGACCATGTCAGTCCTTATTAGACATGACTGACACTAGAAATGCCACCTATTTTAATGTAAAGCTATCTTAAGAGCTGGTACATTGCCCATCACTGTAGTATTTAAATGCTTTAACTGAGATGAAGAAGACTGTGCTCTACTTTGCAATGTTTTTTTTCTCTCCAAAAGCTTCTCCAGCCATCCAAAGCCTGGCTCTTCAGGACTGTCTTTCTTCCACAATCATAAACACTCTTTAAGGGGATTTCAGGCAAGCATTGGGTCGGTCTGAGGGGAAGTTTGTCGCCTCTCTAGTTCAGAGCACAGAGCTAGTTCCAACTAGCAGCAAGGCTCCTGGCCAAGCACCACAACCTGTTCACAGGCACCACTGCAACCCAAAGACTTAGCTAAAACACAGGACTGCCTGTGTAGCTGAGAAGACGATCTGCCTTTTTGCTGTTGCTTTGTGCTCCCTTGCAGCATCTTAATGGTTCACTACAATGCTTCAGTACTGCCTCTGACACCATGGGGAAAGAGCACAGAGGGGTGATACACAGCAGAGCAGCAGGAGGAGTCTAATCTTAAGCCCTCTTTGAACAAACCTATTTTCTGCCTTCTCGGCCTGGCTTCTGGATGCAGTTTCTGATCTGGACCTGCTCCCAGGTGATGGAGCATCAGCATGCCCAGTGCTGTAGTATCCTCCAGGCTGCCTGATCTTCCTTATGTCTTCTCCTTCCTTGATGATCTTGTCTCCTGGATGCAGCAGGGCTGTTGGCAAAGTATACAGAGAAAACAGACATGCTTTGCCCTGTGATCAGGAGTCCCGTTTCAGCTCAGACATTGTAGGTGTAGCAGTCTGCAGCTCAGCCACAGCCATGTCTGTTCCTGGCTATGCACTGATCCTGATCATGGTCTGACTTCCCAGATTGACCTCGGACCTGCCCCATCACCATGATCTTGCCTTGTTGAGCTATACTCTCAGTTGAACCTGTCTACTATCGCAGGGGCAATGGGAGAGGGCTGATCAGCAGCACCCTTTGATATCTCAGTCCTGCTCTGGCCCTGCTGATGATACTGCTGATCCTAACCAGCAGCATCTGACATAGCCCTTTGAGGGCTGCAAACATGCTCCATCGACAGTGCCCCCTGACATTAATCATGCTTCTGGACTTGAGAAGATACACAAACTTCTCAGATACAGTGCAGTCACATCAGGCCCTTGGTCTTTGCTTTACCTCTCTGCAGCGTTGGCTCGGTGATGGGAATATTGTATTCTCTACACAGCTTGGAGCTCTTCAGATAGCTCATGACAGCATTCCTACGATATTGGTCAACCAGTTCTCCCAAGCCAGCCCCCACAGTTGACGGCAGGCAGTGTTCATCAACGGGACCATCCCTAGATCTCACCATCCGGCACTTTTCTTTCCGTTCTATTGGGCTGTCTTTGTTCTGCAAGTAAAGGACAGGTACTGATTAGCATTCAGTGGGGCCCTGGAGTTGCTGCATTCCCTTCAGAGAAGCCACAGGCTCAAAAGTGTGTGCAAAAACGAGTCAGAACCCTGCAATGGGATCCCAGGGACAGGCACTCACAGAACAGGAAGTTCAATCCCCATCCAGAGCTGGGTCCGCAGATGGATACTGCCTGGAGGGCTGTCCTGGGTTTGAGTGAGTGGTGGGGTTTTTTGGTAGCAGAGGAGGCGGCTACAGTGGTGGCCCCCCCTGTAAGAAGCTTCTTGAAGCTCCTCCAGCTCCAGGTTGGCCCCACCTCTGCACCAAGGCTGAGCCAGTCAGCTGCGCCTCTGCGATATCATATTTAAGAAGGGACATGGTGAGGAGGAGTTGAGGCAGTTGCGTAAACACCAAGGTCAGTGGAGGAATGGAGAAAGAAAGGAGAGGGGAGGTGTGCTGGAGCAGGACAGCCCCACCCTGCTACCCATGGAGGTCTAGAGTGGAGCAGACACTGATTTATGGCCTGTGAGGGGCCTCATATGTAAATTTAAGATGGCTACACCCGAAGGAGGCCAGGATCCTGTGGGAAGAAGCAGCCCCCACTGTTGTAGTTAGGCACTGGGAGGATTGCAGCATGTGGGGGTGTCCCATACTGGAGCAGCTCAGGAAGGGCTGCAGCCAATGGGAGGGACTCAAATTGGAGAAAGTTGGTGTCCCATGCTGGAGCAGCATGGGGAATGCTGTGGCCCATGGGAGGGACTCATGTTGGAGAAAGTTTGTGGAGGACTGTCTCCTGTGAGAGGGAGACCACACTGGAGCAGGGGGAAGAAGTTCCAGAAGTTCCTTCCCCCCCAAAGATGGAAGAAGTGGCAGCACTGACTGCACCCCCAGTCCCCTGCACTGCTGTGGGGAGGAAGTAGAGATATCAGGAACAGAGCTGAGGTCAGAAAGAAGGGAGGGGTGGGGGAAAGGTGTTTTGAAGATGTGGTAATGCTTCTCACTGTCCTACTCTGTCAAGTGGTGTTGTTAGTGTCTGTTATAAATCTGTGGGGTTTTTTTCTTCCCTTAACAAGTCTGCCTTTTGTCTGGAACCATAACGGGTGGTTTACGCCTCCCTGTCCTATCTCAAATCCAAAGCCTGATTTATTTTCTCCTCAGTGCTGGGGGGAACGGGCAGTGAGTGGCTGTGTGGTGCTCAGTTGCCCTCTGAGCTCAAACCACGACAAGGGTTTAGCAGAAGAGCAGCACACTGGGTGCAAGTGTCTCAGATGAAAAAAGTCTTGCAGTCACTTCCTCATTTCTGATTGTGTCAGGGAGCCAGAGGCTCTCCCCATTGCTGGTGACTGTGGAGCAGCACTTTGGCAAGAGGAGGTAACCTTGGACACTGCCAGAGTTTGTCCAACCCAAGATGCTCCAAATATGACATTTAGGAGCAAGTGAATAAGTGAGTCACTGTTATATTTCCATTGGACCACCTTGTACTGAGCCACACAACTGAACAGGACAAAGTGCTTATCAGCATCTTGAGGGACAAATCAGTCTAGTTGACAGGTCGACTAGATGATCAGAAGATGACTTCGTCCCCAGGCATAGAAAATGCTTCAACTTCTCCTCCTCATTCTTATTGCCAGTTACCCAGTAAAAGTGTTTATCTCACCAGAGTGTTCAGATGCCAAACAATTTGTTTGAGATGGCTTGTAGCACCTCAGCTGCAAGGCACCATGTGGTCAAGGGACTACTGAGAAGCTAATACTCATAATAACCCCTTGCCCTTTCCTTTACTGCTGCACTGTCCTCTAAACCACCCAACATTTGCCAAGGCATGAAGGTGTGCTTGTTCTCCTGCCACAGACACAGTACCTTCTCCCACCGTCTCCTCTCTCTTAAGAGTTTTCCAATCTCTTCCATTTCATCACAGCTGAGATGTCGTTGTTCTGGTTCGGTGTTGACTGGTGGAACTTCCAAGTATATTAACTTTCTTTCAGGCTTGGTAGGAGCATGAGGTTTCATCGCTTTGGCTGTGACCCCAGCAGAAGGTGGACAGGTGGCAGTTTTGCACGTGGCTTGCTGGAACTGAGCTTCTACACCTAGAATAGATTAAAAACCAAACAAACAAAAGTCCCAGAGAAGCCACATTACAGCATACCAGAAAGGAACATCTGATCCATGTTTAAGACAAAGGGGTTTGGCATGTTGTGCTGACTGGAACTCCCAACAGAGCTTCCTGAAGAATAACCCATTCCGAATCAGTATTTTCCAGCTGCCACCAACAGCTGCAGAAAGGGTCTGCTTTGGATGAGCCAGATGATGAATGCTAACAAGCAAAATCCAGTACAGGATGTTAAACCACAGGGTTCAGACTTTGATCCCAACCTGAAAGACCGAATAACACACATCCCCTGGATTCTTCAGCTTTTCCCTAGAAGTCTCCTTCTGGCCACTCTGCTCTAGGACAATGGTCTCAAGAAGCCATATCCTGGACCCACTTCAGTATTTCCTGTCTGTGTAGAGATGGTTTCTGTTGGGAAAATGTTGCAATGCAGTGCTGCTGCACAAGCTGTTCCATCAGCTCTGTCCCCTGTATAGCCCCAGCCCAGGGCTGCAAGCACAGTCAACTGAATAGAGCATCAATAAAATGTTGTAACAAAGGTAATGGTGGGCCTGACAGTTCAAAGGATGTTGATGTATGAGAAACTGGCCCTTAGCTACCGAAGCAATGGGAGATCTATCATTGTGACTACTAAGAACTGAGACGTACAGAACTTGAGGTAATCTCCCTTGTAGACTAAAAGAAAGAAGAAACAAACAACGAAGTGGTCGGACTCCAGAACAAGATGTGAAACCCACTGTCAAGATAATAATGACTGATAAAGTATAATTCTGTGTATTCTGGATTAGGTAATGCTTTGTAGGTGCATAAATACATGTATGCGAACTCATGTAAGCTGTCACTCTCTGCGGAGGTGACCCAACGCTGCTGGACCTGAATAAAATCCTAGAGTAACCCACGACGGAGTTCGAGTCTCCTTTAACAGTTTCCCAACACGGTGCTGTCCTCTCACCTGTTTTGGTTTTGGTCTGTTGGGATTGTCCTTTCCTCATTTCCAGCCACTGCTTTTCACAGGCAATCAGATCTTCAGAGCTTGTAAAATTCCCTGGTTTTGAGGAAGTCAAGAAGATGACCACATCCTCCAGATCCTTGTCACTGATGGGGACTTTGCTCTGGCAACCAAAACAGAAAATGACAGTGGGATCACCAAAAGATCAAGGCTTGCCCCAGAGTGGGAGGGGCTAGCTTTGCTGTTGTTCCAGATGCTTTTGCAGGGAAGCATGGCACAAAGGCAACCTGCTGAAGTTTCCTTGGGTTTATCAAGCATTCACAACTTGACCAGTCTTCTGCTGCCCCCTGCAGATGTCTCGGCTTTTACCATGCCAAACTCCCCAGATTCTCAGATTAGAATATCAGTTAACATCTGAACTGCTAAACCCTAATAAGCCTGAACATGTCTTTCACAGATCTGTAATGCTGTGGCCTGTGGAAAGTGAGACCCAGCATGAACTGTGCTGTGTGAACAGGTATTGAAAGGCAGTGCAGTGGGGAGATGTAGTAGCCTGGTGGGGGAAAGATCAAGTATCAACACCGGGAAACTTGATGCCAGTTCAGGGTCTACAGCAGGATCCCAACAGCCACATCACTGAACAGTGACTGTCCAAGTCTGTAAGGCAGTGGGTTTCTTCATTCCCTCCTGGCACTCACTCTAGCTGCATCTCTGCAGCTTGCCCTTCCCCTTACCCTTCAGCTTGTCACAGGTTGTGGGAACCGTTCTCAAAGAGTAAGGAAAGCAAAAATGCCCCTTGCTGAAGCTCATCCATTTGCTCTGGGTTGGCATGCAGGAAAATAGGGCAGAGTTACAGCAGTTCATTATTTTTCTATTCCCTACGTACCTCCTTGATGACTTTAATGAAGTCTGCTCTCTTGATCTTCCTCTCATCCATACCAGCCTTCTTGATTCTGTCCATTATCCTCAGCTTCTTTTTGTGCAGGAGGTTAAACAGTGTGACAAGAGACTGGGGGTATGGTGCACAAACAAGGGGAATTCTATCCTTCTTCCGCGGTTGGCTGCTCTCTGGTAGTGAGCACTGAAAAGGATTAGAAAATACCCCGAGATCATCATTATCCAGGATCACCATGCCTGTCAATGTGGCATCAGCTGGGGTAAAGCAGCATCACTCTACCGATTTGACAGCAGACACTCCTTCCCATGCAATTCCGTACTTACTTCCAGGCTGTTGGTCACAGCTGATCTGACAGCAGCCCTCCTGTCTGCTCTGCGTGCCTTTATTCTTTGCCAGCATCTTTCTTCTTGATTGCTGAGGGAAGGTTTTTGAGCCAGCCATTTCTCAATGACCCCTAAGCTGTCCAGCTCACTTCTGAACTGCCTCCTTGCCTGAATCCAAGCCTCCTCTGTTTGTAGACCCTCTTCTGTATCAGAGGTGATCTCTGAGGAGCTGGGGCTATCTTCTTCTTCCTGGGGCAGCTGCAAGACAGACAAATGACAGAAATCTGTGGCCTGAGTTGGCTTCAAAAAGGGAGAAGCTGGTCTTGCCACTGGTGGAGCAAAAGTAAGGTGACATGTGGATTTGGATGGCCCACACCTACTTGCTTTCAGTTTAAAAGCAAAAGTTGGATACATATTTCTCCAATGGTGTCACTGAAAGCCATGCTCCAAGACCCAAACCCTCCATCACATCCTCACTGCTCATGGTGATACTTTATGTAACAGCAGATGGTGCTTTTTGCAGAATCAATAGTTGGGGTCAAGTGGGTATGACAGTTTCCAAAAATGGCAGCAAGCCCATCACAGAACAGCATGGAAACATGTATGGTAGGACACGGTCAAAAGTGGCAGCCTCTGTGCGTGTAGAGGGCAGGGGCCTCCGGTTCTGACACGCTTCTGGCTGAGCCAGGGGCTGGTGTGGTAGGGTGGAGAGAGGGCCATCAGCAAACCATAGAGCAGCACGACAACAGGTGGGTCCTGCCATTTCACAAAATACTGGCTCCCTGCCACCAAGGAGCAGCTGAGATAGCAGGTTGGACAGTCTGTTTATGAAGAAGGGCTGGAGTGCTCTCTATGCTACTTGGAGACAGCTCTCCCCCCTCCACACAGCCAGCTGGAACTGGCTCAAGCCACATGACTGGGAGAGATCCTGCTCAGACTCCAGAGCCGGTTCCTTTCCAGGGATGGAGCAGGCCCACTGATGCCCTTGCCTTAGCCTCTACTGGCATCTCCTCACAGCAGTGAGCAGGCAAGAATGAAAACCACAGCCACCCACCCACTCGGCTCTTTGGAGGGAGCGATGCCGCTGGGACTTGGAGACCTTCCCAACTCAGTGCCACCCCAACCAGAAAAAGGCTGCTCTCTTAATGCTCCCATACCTGGGCCCTCCACATCTTGTTGCCTTCTCTCCCAGCTTGCTGTTGAGGCAGTTCTGGCAAGGTGACCGTTCCTGCTTTTCTGTTCTCTTCTTTCTCCTTTCTTTTGGCCAAGGATGCCTCCAGTTTTCTTCTATCGTTCAGCCCAAACACAGACTGTCTTTTCTAAAGGAACCCAGAAATGCAATAGCAGCAGTTAGTCTCATCTGTCTTTTTTCTTTTTTTTTTAACAATGCTCTTCTCTCTCTCATCTTCCCCTTTTTTCCAGTTTCTGTTGACAGTTCTTTCAGATGCACCCAGAAAGCCCTTCTTTTTTGACCAATGAACTGAGTCACCAAAGTAATTTCATTTTTTGAAAAGGGCTACAGTTCCTTTTCTGAGATGAACGATAACCAAAATAGGTAATTGAATGGGAAAATGAGCTACAGTAAGAGATCTACTCAGATTCGGTATCTGCATATTTTTTTATGTACCTATTTCTCCTAAGATATCCCCACTTGTTTTTCCACAATAACTGACAAGATAATTGCCTCAATCCATATTATGTACCTGTCCTGTCTGCCTGTGTTCTTCAGAAGTAGGCAATGGCAATTCAGGGCTCTCAAAAGGAGGTTCTTTGTGCTGCCTTCCTTCTGTGCCTGCACGTTGTGGCAACAGTCTGAAGATACAAACCAGGATGAGTCAGTATGAGTGCAGGAAGAGTTTCGTCTCCGTTCCTCTGCTCACGCTGCTCACCTACTTTGGCAGCAGAGCGAGCTCTCTTCACACAGTTGTCTTCCCTTCCACAGAGACAGGAATAGCCCTGAGCTGTAACACTCAGATGTGCCACCAAGGAAATCAAGGAAATGAGCTTTTTCCATAAGGCTGGCTCTGGGACATGCAGCCTCTCTTTGATGGAACAACAAAGAGGATTTGAATCCTGTGCAGTGACAGGCATCTGGAGATATGGTATCCCTCTCCTGGCCATTACACTGACTACTGCAAAGCAGTCCCAAATACTGTGGGACTTCCCATCCAGCAAGGAAATGCACTGTGTGGTGGCATGTGTTAACAGCTTGTCCTGGGTTGAGTGAGTGGTGGAGTTTTTTGGTGGCAGGGGAGGGGGCTATCGGGGCGGCCCCCTGTGAGAAGCTTCTCGAAGCTCCCCCAGCTCCACGTCAGCTCCACTTCTGTTTGGGAAATTGAGCCAATCAGCTGCGCCTCTGCGATAACGTATTTAAGAAGGGACGTGGTGACGGGCAGTGGGACTTGTGAGGAGGAGTTGCTGCAGCTGCATGAACACCAAGGTCAGTGGAGGAACGGAGGAAGAAAGGAGGGGGGAGGTGTGCCGGAGCAGAGACCCCCCTGTATCCTGTGGTGAGACGGCAGGGCGGCCCCCCCTGCCACCCATGAAGATCTACGGTGGAGCAGACATTGATTTACAGCCTGTTGTTCCTGCTCGGCTGATCAAGGTTCTGTGCCCGAAGAAGGCCGGGGTCTCATGGGAAAACGTAGCCCCGCTGCTGTAATTCAGCGCTGGGAGGATTGCAGCATGCGGGGGAGTCCCACGCCGGAGCAGCTCGGGAAGGGCTGCAGCCGTGGGAGAGAATCCAGTCGGAGGAAGTTAGTGACCCATGACGGAGCAGTGTGGGGAACGCTGCGGCCCATGGGAGGAATTCAAGTCAGAGAAAGTTTGTGGAGGACTGTCTCCTGTGAGAGGGGGACCACGATGGAGCAGGGGGTAACAAGTTTTGGACACTCCCCTCACCGAACATGAAGGAAGTGGCAGCACTGACTGCACCCCCCATTCCCTGCCCCTGCGCCACTGGGGGAGGAGGTAGAGATATCGGGAGCAGAGCTGAGCCCGGGAAGAAGGGAGGGGTGGGGGGAAGGTGTTCTCAAGATGTGGCAATGCTTCTCACTGTCTTACTCTGTTATGTGTTGTTAGTGTCTGTAATAAATGTATGTTCTTTTTTTCTTCCCCTAACGAGTCTGCCTTTTGCTCGTGATCATAAAAGGGGGATTTTCCCCCATCCCAGTCCTATCTTGAACCCCAAGCCTGGCTCTCTGTCCCTTCTCATTGCCGGAGGGGAAGGGAGAGAGAGGTGCTGCATTGTGGTTGGCTGTCAATCAGGCCTAAACCACGACAGTTTTTGGAAATCGGTAGCCCAGACTAATGGTGTGACAGCATTTTCTACCTCCACTGGAATTTCTTCTTCCACTTTCAGCTGCTGCAACATAAGACCTTGGGCTTCCAGTGGGAAGAAGGCATTGGCAATATCAATTGTGGCGTACCACTTGGCTGCCTTTGACTCGAGTTCATACTGCAGCTGCAGCATGTCTGGCACTGCAGCACTTAGCGGTGGTGTGACTTCATTCAGGCCCCGATAGTCCACTGTCAGTCTCCACTCTCCATTAGACTTTCGCACTGGCCATATGGGGCTGTTAAAGGGTGAATGAGTCTTGCTAATCACTCCTTGGCTCTCAAGTTGACGAATCAGTTGGTGAATGGGAATTACAGAGTCTCTGTTGGTGCGATATTGCCGTCGGTGCACAGTTATAGTAGCAACTGGCACCTGTTGTTCTTCAACTCTCAGCAGCCCCACAGCAGAAGGATCATCCGACAGACCGGGCAGAGTGGACAGTTGTTTGATTTCCTCTGTCTCCAAGGCAGCTATACCAAAAGCCCACCGGTAGCCTTTTGGGTCCTTGAAATACCCTCTTCTGAGGTAATCTATGCCAAGAATACATGGGGCTTCTGGGCCAGTCACAATGGGATGTTTTTGCCACTCATTCCCAGTTAGGCTCACTTCAGCCTCCAACACAGTCAGCTGTTGGGACCCTCCTGTCACTCCTGAAATACAAATAGGCTCTGTTCCTTTAAAATTTGATGGCATTAGGGTGCACTGTGCACCAGTGTCCACCAGAGCCTTGTACTCCTGGGGGTCAGATGTGCCAGGCCATCGAATCCACACAGTCCAGTAAACCCGGTTGTCCCTCTCCTCCACCTGGCTGGAGGCAGGGCCCCTCTAGTATCCATTATCAATGAAGGGGTTAGTGTAGTCTGTGCGGGTCTCAGTCTCATCCCGGTTACTTACTTCTTGTAAATACGAACCAGGAGTCCTCCTCATAGGATCGGCAGCCAAGTCAACCCTCCTGCTCGGTCTGGGCAACTGATTACTGGAGACTGGAGCAGCGTTTCTCCTGAAAGAACCTTGATTTTTAGCCATTCTTCCTTCTAACTCTTGAACTCGCTCTCTTAGAAGGTAGGTAGGTTTCTTATCCCATTTCCTCATGTCCTCTCCATGGTCACGCAGGTAATACCATAGGTCTCTCCGTGGTGTATACTGTCTCTCTTGAGTAGGGAACCGTCTGCTCCTGGTAGCTGAGACTTTAGTCCATGCAGGCGGAGAGTAAGACATATCCTCTTTGAGTTGGCGGGATAGTTCCTTTAGTTCCTTCACGGCTGCGATGATGGAGGGAGAGAGACTTTCATCATAGTTCCGGAGTCGACGCACCAGCTCATCCACAGTTGGTCCGTCTTCGTCTCGCCAGTCAATTACTGCTAATACATTGGCATGTGATGATGGCGCGCTCCGTACCAATTTCCGCCACATGGGCCGGGTGCATTGGACTTCGTCTGGGTCTGTGGGTAGCCGTGCATCATCTGGGTCGAAATAAACCATTTCCCGCCCGGCTAGCTCAGTCGGTAGAGCATGAGACTCTTAATCTCAGGGTCGTGGGTTACTGTCGTGGTTTAGGCCTGATTGACAGCCAACCACAATGCAGCACCTCTCTCTCCCTTCCCCTCCGGCAATGAGAAGGGACAGAGAGCCAGGCTTGGGGTTCAAGATAGGACTGGGATGGGGGAAAATCCCCCTTTTATGATCACGAGCAAAAGGCAGACTCGTTAGGGGAAGAAAAAAAGAACATACATTTATTACAGACACTAACAACACATAACAGAGTAAGACAGTGAGAAGCATTGCCACATCTTGAGAACACCTTCCCCCCACCCCTCCCTTCTTCCCGGGCTCAGTTCTGCTCCCGATATCTCTACCTCCTCCCCCAGTGGCGCAGGGGCAGGGAATGGGGGGTGCAGTCAGTGCTGCCACTTCCTTCATGTTCGGTGAGGGGAGTGTCCAAAACTTGTTACCCCCTGCTCCATCGTGGTCCCCCTCTCACAGGAGACAGTCCTCCACAAACTTTCTCTGACTTGAATTCCTCCCATGGGCCGCAGCGTTCCCCACACTGCTCCGTCATGGGTCACTAACTTCCTCCGACTGGATTCTCTCCCACGGCTGCAGCCCTTCCCGAGCTGCTCCGGCGTGGGACTCCCCCACATGCTGCAATCCTCCCAGCGCTGAATTACAGCAGCAGGGCTACGTTTTCCCATGAGACCCCGGCCTTCTTCGGGCACAGAACCTTGATCAGCCGAGCAGGAACAACAGGCTATAAATCAATGTCTGCTCCACCGTAGATCTCCATGGGTGGCAGCGGGGGGCCGCCCTGCCGTCTCACCACAGGATACAGGAGGGTCTCTGCTCCGGCACACCTCCCCCCTCCTTTCTTCCTCCGTTCCTCCACTGACCTTGGTGTTCATGCAGCTGCAGCAACTCCTCCTCACAAGTCCCACTGCCCGTCACCACGTCCCTTCTTAAATACGTTATCGCAGAGGCGCAGCTGATTGGCTCAATTTCCCAAACAGAAGTGGAGCTGACGTGGAGCTGGGGGAGCTTCGAGAAGCTTCTCACAGGGGGCCGCCCCGATAGCCCCCTCCCCTGCCACCAAAAAACTCCACCACTCACTCAACCCAGGACACAGCTCTTCTGAGTTAACACAAACACTGAGTCCAAAGGAAACAGGGGAACAGGTTTCTCAGAGAGCTTGGGCAGTCTCCATCCCTGAAGGCTGTGAAGACAATAAATAAATAAAGTCCCAAGCAACCTGGTCTGCCCTCAGCTCATAGCTGACTCTGCTTGGAGCAGCTGGTTGGACTAGGAACTTCTGAGAACCCTTCCAACCTCCATTATTGCATGAGCCTATAAAACATTCCCGCACAAGCATTAGTGCACAAGGCCACTCCAATCTAGTCATTTCAGAGTCTCACCTGCTAGGAGGCCCTTTTTGCTCCATTTTCTCTGCTGCTTCCTCCATCACAGCTCTGGATAAGTGGCCTGGAGAAACACCCCTTCGCAAACGGCATAATGTGTGATGAACAGCCGCTGCAAGCATGAAAGGAGAAAACCTCTTAGAACAAGCAGGAGGAGGCACACATCTGCCCTGCAATGTTCAAAGCTGTTTGAGGTTCCGCTGGGATTTTCCTTCTGGGGCCTGTTTTCTCAGAGGGAAATCTTAAGCCCTTCCTGACACCAGCCCTTGATCCCATTCAGCCCTCGATAACCACATTACTCTCTTCAGTCTGAGTTTTCTCCTGCTGCAGCTAGTCCTTCATCCACACAGCGGCCTTTGGGGGGAGACAAATCCTGGCTCTTAACAGTGTCTCTTGGGGGAATGATTTCTTAGCGTTGCATATGGTTTGGTATACAAAAATTGGCTATCATGGCACATTCAACTCAAACACATTATATCTCTGATGTTCCTGAGGAATTTAGGTTGAGGAGCTAGACTTGCCAGCTTTAAAAGAGAAGTGAGGTCTCAGCAGTTTAGCAACCTTTGCATAGTTGTTCTCTATGTGATTTTTCTCATTGAATCATGCTGCAGTGATTTGAAGAGATATGCCAAGCCCCTAGTTTCCCACAACTCAAGACAGTTTGTCATTCACAGTGCTGATAGACTTCCCCAGACATTTACTTCCTCCTGCACAGACAGACTTAAAATAGGAGAGGTATACTTCTGGGCATGGGATGCAGGGGTAAAACATACTTCAGCACTGTCAACTGCAGTTGGTGGTGCTGAGCTCTCCTGTGAAACTGTTCCAAAATGAGTCCCTTGAGATTTACCAGGAGGGGTGAATAGAGGTACACAGGGTGTCTCTATCATCCAGGCATCTATTGTAGCCTGGGTTCTAAATACCCACCAGTAAGGAAGACAAGCAAATGCGCAAACCTCTGCCAGGAAGCAGTCACTAACCTCTTATATCCATGCTGCTTAAAGCACTCTCGAATTCTGCAAGTATCTCTTTGTCTGTGAGAGAACCAATTCGAGGTACTGCCCTAATCTCAAACCTAGAAATAGGAAGAAGGGACAAGTCTGAGAAAAGGGCTTCTCTGCCAGACGAATGTCAAGGTATCTCTGCAGTCAACCTCACGTCCTAGGCCGTTAAGGGAACCACCAAGCAGTGCTGGCCTCAGGAACAGCTCAGCATCCCCTCACTAGACAGAGATTTTAGTTTTTATCCTCAGTCCTCCTGTGCCATCTCGACCCAAGAAGGTGTTTCAGAGCTACATTGATTCATGTGAGTTTCACAGAAGGTATGGAAACGTCACAGACAGAGAGGACTTGCATGCATCTGGTCTTTGATTCACCCCCTACAAGAAACTTGCCATGTTACATTCAAAACAATGGAAATATTACGATCTTATTTCTGTTAAGTGTTTGGGCAGCCTTTACCAGTTGGAGGAGAATGAGCAGATGAAGTGTTAGGAGGGTTGCCTAAATTCCTCTGCCTAGCAAACTAGTTCCCTCTGATGGGAGTGTTAACGGTAAAACGCAAACCACAATCAGTAATGGAAGATTCATAACTCCAGACAAAGCAAAAGCAAGGATGAAATTAACTGCAGACCAGTAATTTGACAGAGCACTACCAAACATCAGCTGAGTACATCTACACTCGGTCAGACAAATGCTGCAGAAACAAATATACTCACTGTGGAAACTGGTGGACACGACCAAAATGACTTGGAAAGAGGGAAGCTTCTTTGTCTGATATGACCCATTTCTTCTGCAAGAGGGACAGAAGCATCTGATGTAACTCCAGGGAATCAAGCTCACAACAGCCTTTCTGTAGCTCCAAGAATTAGCCGACTGTGAGCAAACTTCTGGCCAAGTGCCTCAGCCCCTTGCTAAAACAAGCTGCACAGCATATCATCTTCTAGGGTGAGGAATGTTGTCCCCCTTTTTGCAAGGACAAGAGTTGACAGCACCAGGCAGGAGACTCCTTATTTACTGGGGAAGAAGTTAATGGAGGCATACAGAAGGGAAGGCCCATTATAAGCCTGGCTTCCTGGCTGCTGGGTGCAGTGAGGTGGCTTGCTTGTAACTATTGCTGAACCGAGAGCAAATGGTTCCAAGCTGGTTTTATCCCCAGCGCCTTTCCAAAGATTTCCAAAGAGTCTGCATGCCTATGCAGCGTGGAGGAACCCAGCCACCAGTTCATTCTCTTCCCTCAGGCCAGGAGAACTACACCAACAGCATGCCAGCAGCCACAAGGGGCTTGTCTCAGCAAGGCCTTGGTGTCTGGGCTTCAGCCTCATGTCCCCTGCCATTGCTTTGGCCTTTTTTCCTATTTATGGTAAGGCCCTTCCAGGGCCTTCCCTTGACCAGCAAAAGTAGTATGGCGTGTCTTCCCAGCACCCTTGAACCACAGCAAATAAAAGAAAGAAACTACAGAAAGCTTTCACTGCTACAGACCGCGCACAGCCCAAGTGACCCAGCAGGTCAGCAGGGCTCAGGTTCCCAGTCCTTTGATGGGACATCAAACCCACTCTAAGTAGCACTGGAAAAACAATAAACTTACAGTCAGCAACTTCTCTACCATGTATGTAGACTTGTTGAGGCTTAGTAAAAAGTCTTCGCAAAATGCCATTGTCACCTCTGTTCCCCGGATAGCAAGAGTGCCAACATCTTTTAAAATGAAGTCTGTGTCTTCTCTGTTTGTTAGCATGAAGTAGAAAAAGTTCAGGGTCTCCTGCATACATTTCTGCACAACTTCCTCAGAATATGGGACATCCGAGTAAATATTCTTGTAACTCACTGACACTTTCTTCATCTCGCCTGGAAAAAGAGGAGGAAGACTGTAACTCAGACAGCAGTTGAGCAGACTCAAATAAAGTGCCAGCAGCTCCCAGGTAGAATATGTTGCTATAGCACTGTCTGGTCTAACCAGCTGGTACAGCTGCTTAAAGGAGCTGATGTGGGCCCGTCCTCAAGTTAAGGTCAGATCAGTCCATTAACAGATGTGCCAAGCCGCAGCCATGATTCCCTAAATAGAAACGGGAACCAAGGACCTTGGCCGTCTGTGTCCACACTGCACAGGAGAGCAGGACAAGGTGGGAAGAGTGGGGCTGGTTCCCATGGGAAAGGTAGAGGTTGCTGGACCATGGAGCTGAGCCCGCATGTAGCACACTGCTGGTCTGGGGATACTTGGATATAAATACAAATCAACCACCAAGTACTTAGTGCTGCAAACGCCCCATTGATGGCACACTGCAGATACAGCAATGGCAGCCATGGTCAGAAATGGCAGCAAATTGGCCATCAGAAGGTTTCTGTGCTAGCTGGCATTTCTATCTCCCATTCAAGACTCTCTTCAGATGACTTTGACCCACTTCTCTGCATAAAAGTAGCACTAAGGGCCCGTGGGCATTTGTCTCAACAAGGTCTGATGCAGTGCAAGAATGAAGCATCAGCATCATCTCAGTGGCTTTATAGTAAGCAACCATCAGCTATTGGGCATCCTACAGATCAATAAATGTGGCTGGCATGAAGCCAGTTTCTAAAGCAGATCATGGAGAGATGGTCTAACTTTGTATAGTCTTAACAAAAACTAGTGCAAAAGAAATGGCCCCTTTCTAGGCATTGCTACTTGGTGGGCTGTTTGTGTCAACCCATGAAGGTTGTTCTCAGGGCCTTCTGAAGGCCTCTGATGTGTCCGCCATTGCTTCTGAACAGTAACCAGCATAAACCTCAAATACACGGATGTAGGAGAAAACAAATTTCATTGCTTTGCTTACCAGGAACAGGTACAGAAACATGTTGCAGCTCACGGATCTGTGCAACAGTCCTGCACAGCGAAAACACTGGTTTATGAAATGTGAGCACCTCTCCGTTTTCAAAAGAGTACCATTTTTTAACATGAAATGTCCCCAGTCCTGTTATGCTGACAGCCTGAGGCTGGAAAAAGAAGAGAAGAGCAAGCATTTGTAGGCTGAAAAACATAGTGAAGGCTTGTGAGAGCTTGCAAGGGGGCTGGCTTGTGCCCTGCTGACTCCTGGCCCAGAACACTTTTGCACACCTCAACCAGACTTATTTCTGTATTTATATATTGCATATATATAATATTTTTGATTATTTATTTATTGTCTCTCAGTTTATGGAGAAAAGCTAGTCTTTGGCACATTTGTGGCAGATCTGTAAATCACACTGCATTTCCGGAAAGAACACTACTACTTGCTTGCACAGGGCTGCTGGGACTCCTGAAGCCATCTGGGTGAGGGGTTAGGATAGGATCCCACCTTTCTCTGCAGAAGATGTTGTCGAACATGCTCAGACACACTGCTCCAAATAGTAACGACATCTGAAAAGCAAGGGAAAGACACGTCAAGCTCTAGGTCAGTCAGCTCACGTCCCATCAGCACACCTGTAGACAAGGAAGCAGTGGGTGCAAGTGTGCTTCAACAAGCCTTACAGGATAAACCCATCTGTGACACTGGCTGCATCTTTGACTGGCCGTGGCCTTCTTCCAACAGGACATCTTTCTCTTCAGAGCTAGATCCCTGAGTGTGACCCACTACCAAGGGAAACCTGTCCATGGGACTTCCACCCCAGCAAGAGGAGGGTACTGTGTGCACCGGACCCTGCGGGGCTCAAGGTGTCCCTAGGGGCCTCCCCTGCAGAGATGAACCCCACTTCCCACAGTGGTTTGGGCTGTTCATCTTGTCTGTTGTGATGCTCATCAGAGAGCTTCCAAAGGCCTTACCGTTGACGGAAAGCTTCTTGAGGCAGGGAAATGTGACTGTGCTGTAGCCATCAGCCATGCTGCAGAGCTCAATGTTGGTGATCAGTGCTTCCAGGTCTGTTGTGTTCTTGCACTGGTCAGCACATGAGGCTGCCAGTGGAAGGATTTTGGTGTCTCTTGCTGGGAAGCATCCCCTCTCCAATGTCCTTGCCTGTGCTTTACTAAACAGCTCCTGCACTGTCCCACTGCCTTCCTTTGTCCTCTGCATCTCTGAGGTACAGGAGAGTCTTCTCACATCCCCTGGATCTCAGAGCTCAGCAAGGCTTTGCCAGTAACTGAAGGGAAGGTCTGGTGTGCCAGGTCCTGATGAGGAGGGGCTCTGTGACACAGGCTGAGGTCACAGAGGAACACACCCACATTATCACCACATCTGCTGACCCAGCCAGGTTTGATCTTGCAGTGGGAAGGGGTCTGCTCCCTAAAACACACATGTAGTCCTTGCTCCCCAAGGAGGCCGTGGGTCAGGGAGCGTCTCGGAGATGTCTCCAAATGACAGAAATGGAGACACAGAATCACAAAATCACAGACTGGCTGAGTTTGGAAGGGACCTCGGGAATTCATCTGCTCCAATTCCCCTGCTTAAGCAGGGCTACCTCTTTTTTTCCAAGTAAAACTGATGGCTACAGTTGTAAAGGCCATCCCATTTTCTTCCCTCCAGTTCAGTACTGAGTATTGTGACAATGTGTGGGAATATAACAGAAGATTGTCGAGGAGGACTGTAAACATGCTCAAGTGACTTGCAGCTGGGGTGCCAAAATACCCATATATCATACTAATTGTTGTTTGGTTTTGTGTGCTTGATGGGTAGAATGTCTGCATTTAGATAATATAGGCCCATGAGAGACTCAGAGGCACTTTATCAAAACATCTTTGAGATTCCTGCCCTGCTGATCAAAGCACAGTGGAAAAGTACACCTGCAGAAATCCCTGGTATATGCAAGTGAAAGCAGCAGGTTCAAGATCTTCTCTTTCTGGCTAGCAAGGATCGAGCTCCACAGTGCCAGCATCCTCTCTTGTGTGCCTCTGCCCGGGTGTTGCTGCAGAGATCCCCTGGGCCATGAGGTAACAAGAATAAATTTACTCTTTGCATTTCATCCATGGTTTTGTGGTGGTTCCTGCGTCCTGTCTGTGCCAGCTCACACATTTGGCCTAGTTGGCAGGATCGAGGAACAGCCATGCCATGGCTAAAAAAGAAGTCAGGAACTGGGCAGGCTATGACAGTGATTCCCTGTCTTGGGTTTGAGTGAGTGGTGGGGTTTGTTGGTAGCAGGGGAGGGGGCTATAGGGATGGCCCCCTGTGAGAAGCTTCTCGAAGCTCCCCCAGATCCAAGTCAACTCCACCTCTGCACCATAACAGCCAATCAGCTGCATCTCTGTGATAACATATTTAAGAAAGGACGATGTGAGGAGGAGTTGTGGCAGCTGCGTGAACACCAAGGTCAGTGGAGGAACAGAAGAAGAAAGGAGGGGGGAGGTGTGCCGGAGCTGAGACCCCCATGTATCCTGTGTTGAGATGGCAGGGCACCCCCCACCCCAACCCCCCTCCCCAAAGATCTACGGTGGAGCAGACACTGATTTATGGCCTGTGTTTTTCACCTGGATGATCAAGGTGCTGTGCCCAAAGAAGGCCAGGGTCTTGTGGGAAAAGGAAGACCCCGCTGTTGTAGTTCAGCACTGGGAGGATTGCAGCATGTGGGGGTGTCCCACGCCGGAGCAGCTCGGGAAGGGTTGCAGCTGTGGGAGGGACTCCAGTTGGAGAAAGTTGGTGACCCACAATGGAGCAGTGTGGGGAACGCTGCAGCCTGTGGGAGGGACTCATGTCAGAGAAAGTTTGTGTAGGACTGTCTCCTGTGAGAGGGGGACCATGATGGAGCAGTGACGCGAAAGTCTTGGACACAACATACACGATCAATGTGATCAAGTTAATGCCACTTTATTAAAGGATACACAGCAATTTATACACTAGCACAAAGCGCACGTGTTACGTTTTGGTTGCTAATAGGTTAAAGCTGCTTGTTCACACGCCTTGTTCTGTTGTACCTACATTCTGTTTCTCCTTCTTGTTATCTTGTTTTTTACATTCCATCCTCCTTACCTCTCTGCAACATAGACAGTTTCTCAAAACCCCAACTTCATTATCTCTTTCGACCTTGCGTATGTCCTTCACAACAGCTGCAGTTGTGAGGCCCCTCAGTCTGGATCGCTCATAATATGCCTATTTTCTTCCAGCCACTCCACAGAGCAGGGGGAACAAGTTCCAGAAGCTCACCCCACCGCAGATGGAAGAAGCGGCAGCACTGACTGCACCCCCCATTCCCTGCCCCTGTGCCACTGTGGGAGGAGGTAGAGATATCAGGAGCAGAGCTGAGCCCGGGAAGAAGGGAGGGGTGGGGGGAAGGTGTTCTCAAGATGTGGCAATGCTTCTCACTGTCCTACTCTGTTAAGTGTTGTTAGTGTCTGTAATAAACGTATGTTCTTTTTTTCTTCCCCTAACGAGTCTTCCTTTTGCTCATGACCATAAAAGGTAATTTTCCCCTCCTGGTCCTATCTCAAACCCCAAGCCTGGCTCATCTGCCCCTTCTCATTGCCGGAAGAGAAGGGGGAGAGAGTGGCTATGTGGTGTTTGGCTGCTGACCAGGCTCAAACCATGACATTCCCCTTATTACAGAATGTTTTTGTACTGAGAACTGGACCCCCGGGCTGCTCTCCTGGCTAAAGTGGCTCTGCTGGAATCCTGGTCTAAAATAGATAATGGGGCAGTGGTTACCCCCCAGGCAATTGCAAGGGCTATATGCAGATTGTCATTGAAAGCAGCATCATATTCTTCTTACAAGTTAGCAGGGAGATTAGGATGGTTATTAGTTGCTGGTCTTAGAGCTCTTGACTGTGAGGGTGTTACATTACAGAGTAAAGTGAGAGATTTGGAAAAGGAAATCTGGACTTTACAAGATGCAAAGGCTATCGCACAAGAAGTAATCACTGTTCAAGCACAGCGGTGCTATAAGCTGCAAGATAACGTAGAGTGGTTGGTAGTGCATATTGCTAATAAGTAAAGGGACAAATACGGGAAAAGTAAAGTTTTGATTTCCCAAGTCTGTGCTCTCACTATAGAACAGTCATGGGATCCCAAGGAATAGGATGGAAATATTCAGAATGTATCCTCAAACTCCAGGACTGAGTTTGAATTTAATTCAGACAGGGTAGCAGTAACGAGAAATATAAAAATGCAGTTTTTGAGAGAAGCACCTGCCTTACTAAAACCCTTGCTTATACCAGCAGTGACAACTGCTACAGGTAATGTAGGCGCCTAAGCAAATACCTTGAGGGAAATTGGGCTGTAATTTCAGGGCCATCTGTCTGGGTGGTGAATAAAGGAAAGCTGGTAAAACCGAAAGGAGCCACAGCAAGGGTGATGAGGGAACAGATGTGGAATGATCCTGTATGAGCTAGTATCCCACAATCAGAAATAGATGGGATCATGACATCAGAAATGTTTCACAGGTGGCAAAATTTAGCATTTGAGCAAAAAAGCTGACCATCCTGAGCCCCACGATCAACTCCACACCCACCCTTCACCCCACCTGCCACCTCAAGGCAAGACACTCACCTGGCAAACGCCAAAAAAGTACAAATTAAGATTTGGCAGATCCCCAAAAATTGCCACTATTGCAGCCTCTTACCATGAAGGGGACCAACACCCATATGTTCCTCTAACTATAAAGTGGTGGTCTGGGGGGATTTTACATGTATTAGTTCTGGTGGATACAGGAGCTGAGGTTACTGTATTACGTAATAATATTGATAATAAAGAAGCCACATCACAGATCTGAATATGAATCTTGCACTCCAAGCTAAGGTTACATTAACAATAGGGAATGCCATGCCATTTACCGCAATGGTGTTAATTGCCCCAACTAAAGAATGTATCTTGAGTGCGCATGTGTTGGCAGGACAAACAGCTGAAACTTTAAATCGTCGCTTCTGCTTCAGGACTTCACACGCGGGATTTGCTGTTTGATCTGTAACTGTCTTGTGTAGATTGCAAAGTGCAATCATGTTGTGCTGACTGTGCCCAGTAAGGTGGTAACTGTAAAACAGTATCATATTCCAGGGGGGTAGGAGGAAATCGCTCAAACCTTTCAGGCACTTCAACAAGTGGGAATTGTTAGAGAAACTGTGACTGCTTTTAATAATCCTATTTGGCCTGTTGGTAATCCAGATGGCACTTGGAGAATGACTGTAGATTATAGAGAAGTGAATAAAGTCACCCCCCTCCATGCTTGTGGTTATGGTACCAGACGTGGTTACTCTTAGACTAGAAATCAGCAAAAATTTGCAATCCTGGAAGGTGGTAACAGACCTTGTTAATGCTTTCTTTTCAATAGCTATTGCTTCAGAAAGCCAAGACCAGTTTGCCTTTACCTGGCAACAAAAGCAATATACTTTCCAAGCATTGCCTCAGGGAATCAAACACAGTCCCCCCATTTGCCACCAAGTGATAGCAGCTGATGTGGCACTATGGCCTGGTACTCTGACTGTTTACCATTACATCGATGATTTATTGATTATATCAGTGTCACAACAAGAAATTGAAGCAGCTGATTAATTGCTAAAAGCACATTTACAGGACTGGGGTGGGGCAATTAATCCAAAGAAAATATGGGGCCCTAATACTACTGTACAATTTGAGGAATGGACAGATTAAAGAAATACCAAATATGGCTCAGCAAACAGTCCAGCAGTTTCCTGTGCCAACCACAGTAAAACAGTTACAGACTTTGGGGAGATTTTTAGGGCACTGGAAAACTTCTACCCCACATCTGGAGGTATTAATGCACCCTCTGCAGACATTAACTAAGAAGGTTGTCTGGCAGTGGACCAAGCAACAAGACTTTGATGCCTGCAAAATTTTTTTGATTGAGCATGCACAATTATACACTCCTAGGCAAGGATATCCCTTTGAGTGAGAATTAACAATTTTAGATGATATAGTCTCATGGGGATTGTGGCAGATGACTG